TATACTACTTGGTGTATGTATATATATATATATATATATATATATACACACACACATACATACAAACACACATTTATAAATATTTCTAGATGTAACCATCTGTTTCCATATTGTTAATTACTATGGAAGTTCTTACTGATGTCTCGAGTTTGAATCCATTACATGCATCATTCTACTCCTCTCCTTTACCTTATCTATAAATTCCTACTTTAGCAGTGAGAAAACTGCCTCCTATCATCTGCTATTCATTTACTGAATTGTTCAGTTCCTGTATACATATAGCAGTATCAGGCAGCTATCTATTTACGAATTGTTCAGTTCCTGTATACATGTATAGCAGTATCAGGCAGCTATCTATTTATGAATTGTTCAGTTCCCGTATACATGTATAGCAGTATCAGGCAGCTATCTATTTACTGAATTGTTCAGTTCCTGTATACATATAGCAGTATCAGGCAGCTATCTATTTACAAATTGTTCAGTTCCTGTATACATGTATAGCAGTATCAGGCAGCTATCTATTTACGAATTGTTCAGTTCCTGTATACATGTATAGCAGTATCAGGCAGTACTAGAATTAATTCATACCTCTATGGGAAAAGCTTTATCAACTAGAGCACTTATGCAGTTCCTTTTACCTTGAGCCTTACAGATGCCATCAACTGCAGAGCAAAGTGTGTTTGGAAGAGTTTTTAATTTTAACAAAGTCTAACTTGCTAATTTTTTCATGGATTGTGCTGTATCTAGAACATGTGTTGTCTCTAAAAACACACCACTAAACCCAAAGTCACCTCTATTTTCTCTTATGATATCTTCTAGAAGTTTTACAGTTTTGTCTTTTAATATTTAGGTTTATGATCTGCTTTGAGTCAAATTCTGTGAAAGGTGTAAGGTCTGTGTCTAGGTTTTTTTTTTTTTGCATGTCCCCAATTGTTCCAGCACCATTTGTTGTAGACTGTCCTTTCTCCATTGAATTGCCTTTGCTCATTTGTCAAAGTTCTTGCCTTTTATTTTATTTAAGTATTTTTAATTATTGTAGTCCCCTCTTCCTTAGTTAAGTAGTTACATATTATTTTATTACTTTTTAGTGGTGGCCATAGAGCTAACAATATGTTACTCGATTTGTTAAACATCTATGTAAATTGTTACGTTTGTTATTTCCAAGGCCAGTGGTTCTCAAACTTGAACATGCATCAGAATTGCCTTACGGGTTTGCTAAAACACAGATGACTGGGTCCTATCATCAGGGTTTCTGATTCAGCAGGCATGGGGTGAGGCATGAAAACCTGCATTTCCAACAATTTCCTAAGTGATGCTGGTGATACAAATGCAAACCTGAAGACTACACTTTGAGAACAGCTGTGTTTAACGCAAACACGGACCACCACTCTGACTCTCCTTGTTCTCGACTTCTGCGCTATTACTGTTATATCTACATCCCCATAAAGAAATATTCTTAGTGCTTTATGTTGTAAATATTCATTTATGTTTACTTTCATATTATTTTTCTCTGTTGCTTTTCATTTCTTTGTGCACCTTTGAGCTTCCATCTGGGACCACTGACCATTTGCTTCTGCCTGAAGAACACCTGTAATGCAGCATTTCCTGTAATGCGGTTCAGTTGGTGACAGATTCACCCACACTTTGTAGGTCTGAAGCTATCTTTACTTTGCTTTTATCCCCGAAGGATAGTCTTGGTGAATGTGGAACGCTGCGTTACTGTTATTTCTTTTAGCACACTGTCTTCTGACATTTGTGGTTTCTGTTGAGAAGATGGTTGCTTAGTTCACGGCGGCTTCTTTGAAGACAGTATCTCTTTTGACTGCTTTAAAAATGTGCTTCTTGTTTTTCGTTTTCAGCTGCTTGACTCTGATGTGTTAGGTTCTACTTTTCTTTGTAGTTATTCTGCTTAGAACGTCTTGAATGTGCGTCTTGAAGTCATCCATCAAATTTGTGTTACTGTTTTTTTCCTTTTTGATGGTACTGTCGCCAGAGAATATGGTATTTATGATACTTATCCTGAGATGCGTTCAGACTTGCTGTATGGCTCTGTTTAAGTGGTTGATTTGTGAAAACATTGCTTCCGTGTTGAAAAGAATGTGTATTCTCTAGTTGTTAGGGGCACGATTCTAAATATGTTAATTATATTAATAGCAATCCCTTTTTAATGTATATTGTTTAAATATTGTTTATCTGTATTAATCTGATTATCTTCTAAGCTGTCAATAATTACTAGAGGTGTGTTAAAATATCCAATAATAATTTAGAGGCAATTTTCTTATATATATCTGGGTTTAAAATGGCTATAATCACATAATTGAAAACTATAATCAATATATAGTACCCTTCTGTATTTCCAAGAATGCTCTCTGTCTTACATTCTTTTTGAGACAGGATCTCACTGTGTCACCCCGGCTGGAGTGGACTGGCACTATCTCGGCTCGCTGCAATCTCCACCTCCCAGGATCAAGTGATCCTCCCACCTCAGCCTCCCGAGTAGCTGGGACTACAGGCGCACTACACCATGCCCAGCTATTTTGTATTCTTTTAGTAGAGACAGGGTTTCACTCCGTTGACCAGGCTGGTCTCAAACTCCTGCCTTGGCCTCCCAAAGTGCTAGGAACACCTAGCCTAAATTTTTTTCTTAACCAAACGTTTCCCCTTTACTACTTACGCATAATACACTATTTTCTTTTAGTAATATGGAAATTTTTTCACACATGTTAAATTTAAATGAGATTAAAGTGAATCAATAAGTTAAATGATCTGAAAACTAGACTCATAACACTTCTTCAATCAGCTACCTACTTCTGATTCCAATGCCACTGAAAGCTAAAACTTTAGTTCTCTATCTTCTTTTTTAAACACTGTAAATTATATCTTTTCTTCTTCTTGTCCTTCTGCTTCTTCCTCCTCCTCCTCTTTGTCCTTTTTAAATCTCTTTTTCATACATATGATGTCATCTTAGAATTATCTACATCTGTATCAATTTTTTTCTTTCTGCATTTTGGACTTTTGCAATCATTTTCTTCTTACTGAAGCATATCTTTTAGAAGTTTCTGTGAAGATCTGTTGATGCCAAACTCTAGTTTTCTGTTCATCTAAAAATGTCTTTATTTTCTTATTCTTTATAAAAAGATGGTTTTGCTAAATACATAATTTTAAGTTGACAGTTAATTTCTCTAAATACTTTCAAGTTATACTCCCTTGCATTCTATTGCTACTATTTTGAGGCTAATCATCATTCCTTCTTTCAGTCACCTTTTTTTTTTTTTGAGACGGAGTTTTGCTCTTGCTGCCCAGGCTGTAGTGCAATGGTTCGGTCTTAACTCACTGTAACCTCAGGGTTCAAGTGGTTCTCCTGCTTCAGCCTCTTGAGTGAATCAATAAGTTTGATTCACCTGTTCATAGATAGCAATTTTAGATTCTATATCCAACAATACAGTCTACAGGCGCCTGCCACCATGCCCGGCTAATTTTTGTATTTTTAGTAGAGACAGAGTTTTACCATGTTGGTCAGGCTGATCTTGAACTCCTGATCTCAGGTGATCCACTTGCCTTGGCCTCCCAAAGTGTTGGCATTACAAGTGTGAGCCACTGTGCCTGGCCTCAGATTACTTTTAGTATCTTCTTTTTGTTTTTTGTGGTCTGCAATTTCACTAAAATTAATCTTTATGGATTTGTCTTCACTTATCTTGCTTATTATAGATTGGTTTTCTTTACTTGTGAACATATGTATTTCATCCATTCTTTTTCTTTTTTTTTTGAGATGAAGTTTCACTCTGTCTCCTAGGCTAGAGTGTAGTGGCTTGGTCTCAGCTCACTAAAACCTCCACCTCACAGGTTCAAGAGATTCTGAGATTACAGGTGTTCATCACCACGCCCAGCTAATTTATGCTTTTTTTTTTTTTTTTTTTAAAGTAGAGATGGGGTTTCACCAAGTTGGCCAGGCTGGTCTCGAACTTGTGGCTTCAAGTAATCTGCCCACCTTGGCCTCCCAAAGTGCTGAGGTTATAGGCATGAGCTACCATGCCTGGCCTGCATTTAATCAATTCCGAAAAATTCATTTTCTCCTCAAACATAGCAGCTCTCAGTTTTCTCTATTCTCCTCTCAAGGACTCTGACTGGATGTATATTAAAGCCTTTTATTCTATATTCCATATCTTTTAATCTAAATACCTCCTTTTTGTTTTCTCCATACTGGATCTTGGATATTTATTTCAGACATATCATCCAGTTCACTAATTCTTTCTTCATCCACAGTTAATCTGCAACTTAAACTATTTGTTAAACTTTACTTTTCAGCTATTATATTTATTTTCAAAAGTCCTTTTGTTTTTATTTTTCAAATATGCATATTTTTGACAGTCTCTTCATAATCATTTTCTGAACACATCTTTCATTATTTAAACAGTTCATAGATAGCAATTTTAGATTCCATATTCAACAGTTCCAAGATATAAATTGTGTAGGGGCTTAAATCTATTTGTAGTTACTAATGACTTCTAATAAGGGTGACTTTTTTCAATGTGTATTTGCTGATTTTGGGTTTGAGCTCATATTCGTTGCTTTTAATCTGTGAGAATCCTGTGGGAATACATAGGGAATAATTTTCTCCAGAAAACACTTTGCTTTGCTAGGAAACAGGGGAAATACTGACCTGGAATACTTTAGTGTCCTTTGAGGATCTTAGCTCAAAGCAGAACTTTCAGGTACACTTCCTGTATTTGCTTCTAGCCCGAGTGGGCTCAGCTGCCACAGCTCTGACACTGGCTTTTGTCTTTAGGACAGCCCAATTTCCCCCATTTATTATTGCTCACCATCTTGCCTCTTGAAAACTTATTTTTTGGAAGGATACTGAAGATTTCCCTGTGTCCTTACGAATTCAGAAAGGAAATAAAGGATGGTTTATCCAGGATCCAGTAGTTTTTGAGGGGCGGGATCCTTCAGAATATCTAGTCTCTTCCACTGCCAGAAGTGGAAATCTAAGGCCCTTTTTCCAAGTGTTTCTTTAATAAGGTTTAAAATATTTACAACTGGTTCTTCAGATGAATCTAAACAAGGTAATTAAGTAACAAAACCGATCATACCGTGATCAAACAGTGTTCCTCATAGCTCCAGTTTTATGATCTCCCCATTCACTTTATCTTGAACGAGGAGTGTAAACTTGCCATGGAAGGCTAGATTTAGAATGTTCAAATGAGCAATTATCTTTTAACACCAACACAAGTCATGCATACAATTTGGCAGATTGAAGATTACATACAGAAGAGACTTGAAGTTCCTTGCAAAACAAATAGAGGACTGAGAACATTACTGAAAGCCAATGAGCTCCATTTCTTTAAAAAGTTAAAAAAAAAAGAGAGGTAAAGAAATCAGTGGCTTGACATTAATGAGACTGACAGTCTTTAAAGTTTTAGAAATTTTTTCTCTTCAACCTTTATACATATCCAGAGTATCCAAAGCTTTTCTGTGAATATAGCAGCATGTAAAATCCACTTTCAGTGTGCAAGGTTGACTCTATGGAAGGTTCATGGCTATTTATGAACCCTAAAATTAAAGTTAAAAAACTGAGTATAAAAGCTGGACTACCACTGATACATAAACTGTAGGCTCATCCTAAGCAATAATCTTGATGAGACCCTGCACTCGATATTCATATACTGGCTATATTCCCTACACTGTGGAATGTATCCCTTGCCATGTGTGGGTATCAATTTAGAAAACAACATATGGGCCAGGCGCGGTGGCTCACACCTGTAATCCCAGCACTTTGGGAGGCCGAGGCGGGTGGATCATGAGGTCAAGAGATTGAGACCATCCTGGTCAACATGGTGAAACCCCGTCTCTACTAAAACTACAAAAAATTAGCTGGGCATGGTGGTGCGTGCCTGTAATCCCAGCTACTTGGGAGGCTGAGGCAGGAGAATTGCCTGAACCCAGGAGGCAGAGGTTGCGGTGAGCTGAGATCGCGCCATTGCACTCCAGCCTGGGTAACAAGAGCGAAACTCTGTCTCAAGAAAAAAAAAAAGAAAACATCATATGAAGCCAAGTAGAAGCTGTGGGTATCAGAGCAAAGCTTGCTATCTGAGATTGGACCACAGAGTCTTGAGGAAGGGCCCTGCTCTGTCACCCAGGCTGGAGTGTGGGGACCCGATCTTGGTTGACTGCAACCTCAACCTCCTGGGCTCAAGTGACCTCTCACCCCAGCCTCCTAAGTCGCTGGGACTACAGGTGCACACCACCAGGCCTGGCTAATCTTTTGGAGAGATGGGTTTTCACCATGTTGCCCAGGCTGGTCTCAAACTCCTGGGTTCAAGAGATCCACCCACCTTGGCCTCCCAAAGTGCTGGGATTACAGGCATGAGCCACCGCATCTGGCCTGCAGTTGTTTTCTGAGTAATAAACAAGTTTTGGTGTGCAGAAGCTTGATCCCCACTTAGGGTTTGAAGTGCCTTTTCAGTCTTCGTACGATGACATTTATATTCACTTCTCTTCCCTGGGTCTCAGTTTCTTCCCTAGACACTAAAAAGTCAAGACCATGTGCTCTCTCAGGCTTCTCCCAGCACTAAGTCTGAAGTACTATGTGAAGCCTGGGGTGTGTGTTTGATTCCCCAGAGCCTCTTTTTGTTGGTATACTAAACATTGACACTACAGTGAAAGGGAAGACAAGTTTCTCCACCATGGGCCTAAAGAGACTCAAAATGAATAAAGCTTTGCTTCTTACACACTGTCTTATCTGTAGATGATTTTTTCTTTCATAAAAACTTTTTTTTCCAAATGACTTACCCATCTTCATGTGTTGTTCCTAGAGAACACTGAGTTACCTCCTTTGAGCAGTCATGATAGTGTTGGTGGCTTCATCAATCCATCTTTAGGATGAGGGCAATATCTGGGACAATAAAGAAGAAAAATGGAAAGAAATTAATACTATGGTTGCGCGGTGGCTCATGCCTGTAATCCTAGCACTTTGGGAGGCTGAGGTGGGCGGATCACGAGGTCAGGAGTTCAAGACCAGCTTGGCCAATATAGTGAAACCCTGTCTCTACTAAAAATAAAAAAAATTAGCCGGGTGTGGTGGTACATGCCTGGAGTCCCAGCTACTCAGGAGGCTGAGGCAGGAGAATCGCTTGAACCTGAGAGGTGGAGATTGCAGTGAGCTGAGATTGTGCCATCACACTCCAGCCTGGGCGACAGAGTGATACTCCATCTCAAAAAAAAAAAAATACTGTGGTGACACTATGGGGGCCTCTTATCAACCCTGGCTTGGAGCTTGAGCTGACTTTTCAGTTATATGAGCCAATACACCCATATATTGTATAAGACAGATTTAGGTTTTAGTTGCAGTTAAAAGCATCCTAATGAAAACATCTCTTTTTAAAAGTATAACTTGTACATATGACTCAGATAAAGATTTATCACCTCTGAGGGAAACCAAGTTTAGGTTTCACTCCACGTTGGAGTGCAGTGGTGCAATCTTGGCTCACTGAAGCCTTGGACTCCTGGGTTCAAGTGATCCTCCTGCCTCAACCTCCCAAGTAGCTAGGACTATGAGCACCCACCACCATGATCAGTTAATTTTTTAAATTATTTGAGAGATGGGCATCTGGCTACGTTGCCCAGGTTGGTCTCAAACTCCCGACCTCAAGTGATCGTCCTGCCTCAGGCTCCCAAAGTGCTGAGATTATAGGTGTGAGTCACCTTGCCTGGCAGGAATACGCTGTTTTGACTTTTCAGATTAAAACTGAAGTAAATGAAACGAACTCACGACAATAAGCCAATGGTCGGCACTGTTATGGATCAATAATACAGGTTTCAACTCTTGGGATGGAGAGTAACTCACTCACTTTCCGCACCTAACTTTCTGTATCACATAATTCTTTTCTTCCCAGGCCCAAACTCTGCCTCAGTAGCTTTCTGTACTGTAGCAGCCACTGTCAATTGCTGGGAGCTGGCACATAAAATAACATCTATCTGTGCTCCTTATCACGCCATTCTGTCTAGTCCCAAATGTCAGAATAGGTTCTAACACAACTTTGGGCTTTGCAAAAAAAAAAAATGTCATCTTTTATCATCAGTTGGAAAGCTTTGGGGGCAGAGGAGACAAGACGATTCACTCATTATTTTCAACACATATTTAAGTTTCCGTGGAAAAACAGGAGTGAGATTCAATCCAGAAGTGTTCGTGGAACAGTAACATCAGATTTCATGGTGGGCAGAGGTAAGGAACCAGTTCCTAAGAGCAGCAAGTCAACTTAAGAAAGAAAAATTGCAGTGCCCACCTTCTTCCACAGAGGGGCACTCCAAGCCCATCGCTAAAAACACGCACAGTTGTTTTTAGTGAGCGGTTGTAGAAAAAGAGCTTCCAATCTTGTCTCCATACCTAGGGGATTAAGTAAGGAGAACTTAAAGTACATTTGCAGTGCTCGATGTGAATGGCGTAAAACCTTTCTAATATCAATCCCAATGGTGCCAGCGACCCATTCTAAATTAACTCACGTTTAAAAATGTTACAGAAACGTGTTAAAATTGAGAACAGATTTCACTCTGGGCCTGTGGGTCTCCATTACACAAAAGATGGACTGGAGGCAAGGCAGTTCTTATTTAAAGCTAACATATGGCCTCTCAGAAAACGATGTCAGCCCGCTTCAAACACTCCGGTCTTCACCTGAAGGGGCCATACAGAATGAGAATGACGCCTTGAGTAAACAGAACTGTAGACACACGAGTTACGTCTCAAGGGGTTTCCAGTGTCTTTATTCTTGTGTCTGGGCCAAAGGTCTTTCCCTGTGTCCAGAGGCCCCGTGGCATTTCCAAAGAAGCCGTGGGTGACGGTGGGACCGTCTTGACGCCAACGCAAGTGTACCGGGTGGTCCTCATCGTCTGCTACATTCCGAAATGCAACCATCAGGGGCGCGGCCCTTACCTTTCCCAGGGAACACGAGACCGAGGGGCTGGAAGGCTGGCGCCAACGCCGCCCGCGTGCTGAGCCCTGGGCTGGGGCCTGGGCGGGCGGCCCGGAGTCCCCGCGCGGAGGCCGCAGGTTCCCAGGAGCGCGGGTCGCTCTCCACCCCTCGCCCGGGCCCACTGGAAGGGCGCGATGGCTTTCGACCAAACCGCGAGTGTAAAAGGAAGCGCGAAAAGCCCGAGGGAGCCGCAGCCCAGATTGTGCGGGGGGCAGAGCCGCGGGCTCCGAGGGTCCCCGGGGCGAGGCGTGCAGGGGGCGCCTCCGGGCCGCGGGCAGATGGAGCCGGGGCTCCCGGGCGGCGCGCGGGGGGCGGCCGCCTCGACATCCTCAAGTTTATTCTGGGCCACCGAGCGCGGGAACCAGAAACGTTCCGTCTTTCATGGCCACCGGTGGCTTCACACGGGCTCGCGCCCCCCGGCGAGCACTGAGGAGCCGGCTGGTTCCGCCGCGTTTGAAGTTCAGCATTTATTATTAAAGAGAAGCGGCGGCGACGAGCGCTGCGTCCTCGGAGTGGGGAATACACATTTACTAAATCAGAACGCTCCGCCATCAAGGAACGGCCGAACGGGCTTCCGAACCGCGGCGCGGGCCCCGAGTGCGCCCCCAGCGGGACGCGGCGTCCGGGCTTTCCACTGGGGGCGCCACCTGCAGACCCGGCGGGGCGGCGGCTTGGCGGGGCCGGCTCGGCTCTCTGCGTCCGAGCTGTTCTACAGGCTGTTTCACAGAAGCAGAGGGAATGCCACACTAAACTGGGCACCTTTCTTCAAAACTACAAGCAACGCGGTAACATGTTATCGCTCAATTAAGGGGATCGTGTTGCTTCCAACATTAGGACTTTCTGTACCCCAGTATGCTCCAAAATGTCCCCAAATTGTGAGCATCCAAAAAAAGCATACTTATGTATATTTCAAAACATCATGTACACTGAAAATTATACAGTTTTATTTGTCAACTGAACAATAATATTAAAAAACCCAAAAAAGTATATTTATTTTATTTGGCAATTAACTTACACGATGGCATCCCTTGTCAAAAGCATTCATGTTGCTTGTTTAAAAAGCTTTTTCCTTAATTATTAGAATAATACTTTTACTGTAGAAAATATGAAATTTACATATATCCACACGTCAGTATCATATACTGTTTAAAATCATGTTTTGTAGTGGGAATTTTCCAGTGACATTACATGTGAATTTAGTGTCTATATCTCCTTATTTAACTTACAGTGAATTAATAAACATTAAGGTGGTTTCAAGCTTTCCTTATTATAATAGCTCAACCAACACACAATTCTGTACGATTCTGATTATTCCCTTGCACCATTTTATTTGTAATTTCCTTCCTTCCTTCCTCCCACCTTCCCTCCGTCCTTCCTTCCCTCCCTCCCTCCCTCCCTCCTTCCTTCCCTTCCTTCCTTCCTTCTCTCTCTTTTGACAGTCTCGCTCTGTCGCCCAGGCTGGAGTGCAGTGGTGTGATCTCTGCTCACTGCAACCTCCGCCTCCTGGTTTCAAGCAATTATCGTGCCTCAGCCTCCTGAGTAGCTGGGATTACAGGCACCTGCCACCACGCCCGGCTAATTTTTGTATTTTTAGTAGAGATGTGGTTTCTCCATGTTGGTCAGGTTGGTCTTGAACTCCCAACCTCAGGTGATCCGCCCTCCTTGGCTTCCCAAAGTGCTGGGATTACAGGTGTGAGCTACTGCGCTCGGCCAAAATTTCTTTTTATGAGGACCTAAGTCACATTGGATAAGGACCCTTTAAACATCTGATTTTAACCTAATTACCTCTTTAAAAACTTTATTGGCCAGGCGAGGTGGCTCACGCTGGTAATCCCAGCACTTTGGGAGGCTGAGGCGGGTGGATCACGAGGTCAAGAGTTTGAGACCAGCCTGACCAACATGGTGAAACCCCATCTCTACTAAAAATACAAGAATTACCCGGGCGTGGTGGTATGCACCTGTAATTCCAGCTACTTGGGAGGCTGAGGCAGGAGAATTGCTTGAACCTAGGAGGCAGAAGTTGCAGTGAGCTGAGATCGTGTCACTGCACTCCAACCTGGGAAACAGAGCCAGACTCTGTCTCAAAAAAAAAAAAAAAAAAAAGAAAAGAAAAGAAAAGACTTTATACCCATATATCATGATATTTAGAGGTACTAAGGGTTGGAACTTCAACGTGTTAATTTTGGTGGGGATGCAGTTTAGCCCATAACAGATATCTAAAGGAGAGAGAGATTATGCCTTAAATTTATTTTTTAAAACATAAATATTGCCAGAAATAAAAACATGGCATAGAAGTTAAAAACTAAGGCAATGCTACAGCATTTAAGTCACAAAAACAAACAGGATTTCATATTACATGTGCTTTTGTTAGGTTAGGCTTGAGGCCTAGTGGTGGGAGAGGAGCCTTCTAGAAGTAGACTTTTTTGCTTACATCAAGACCTTCGGGTTTCCTGTGGCTCTGCTTCATTTCTGTTTTTACTCTAGACACAGGGCAGTCTCTATCTGGGACACTGCTGCTTTTGTGACTAGACCAAAAACAGCCTCAGTGAACCCCAAGCTTATAGCTTCAACTCAGAATGATACATGTAAGTCATTTGGAATTGTTTCACAATTAAGTTGTTCAATTCAATAAGTGCTTAGCAATTGCTTTTGGAGCTATTTGTTTGCCTTCTGAAGGTGCTGAAGGAGGGCAGAGTATTGGTAAGAAAAAAGAGGAGAGTTCTGAGCGCAGTCAGGCTCTGACTGGTTTAGCACTGTCCTCCGAGGCCCCTTGAGGTCCTGGAGTTTTCTTGGATCACTCTGATCAACACTGACATGCTTCTTTCTGCCTGCTCTTCATTCATGGATTCATTCCATAAATACTTATTGAGGCCAAGTGTGTGTGGTGGACAGGACAGGCTTGGTTTGTGCTTTCGTGGTGTTGACTTTCTAGTAGGAGGAAGCAGACACTAAATAACAACCCATGTAAACCTGACGGTTTTAGATGGTGAAAAGGGCTGTGAAGAAAAATGTCCGGTGCGATGCTGAGTGTGTACAGCTGGGCTGAGAGGCTGATTCATCCTGGGTAGGGAAGGCCTTTCTCAGTGGGTTACGCAGGTGCAGGGATCTTACTGAAAAGGGCAACCAGTGGGGTGAGGAGAGAGACGGCAGTGGCAAGGCCCTAAGCTGGGTGGGAGCTTGGCTGACGGAGGACTGGACAGAGGCCAGTGTGGCTAGATGTTAATGAGAGTGGAGATGTGGGAGAGGGGGTCTTGGAAGTCGGTAGGGCCCAGGGCAGCAAAGCCTGTGTGGTACCTTGGTAAGGACGATGTGCCCCGGCTCCCACACCCAGTAAAATGGGGAGACATGAGGTTTTAAACTCCATAGTGACACAGTAGCAAGTTCTGGTTTATGTTTTTCATTTTGTTTTGTTTTGAGATGGAGTCTTGCTCTATCATCCAGGCTGGAGTACAGTGGCTTGATCTCGGCTCATTGCAACCTTTGCCTCCTGGGTTCAAGTGATTCTCCTGCCTCAGCCTCCCGAGGAGCTGGGACTACAGGCACGCACCATCACACCCAGCTTATTTTTGTATTTTTAGTAGAGATGGGGTTTCACTATATTGTCCAGGCTGATCTTTAACTCCTGACCTTGTGATCTGCCCCCCTCAGCCTCCCAAAGTGCTGGGATTACCCACCGCGCCTGGCCTGGTTTATGTTTTTAAGCAATTACTCAGATTACTGTGTGGCAGATGGACACAGTGTTCTGAGGAGCGGGCAGAGAGACCAACTCAGATTGTGGCATTTGGTCACTTTCAAACCAATGTTCCGAGGGGGCCCCAGGTAGCAGATCGCAAGCACCCTTAGGACAGAAACATGCTGCTTTCCCTTATTCCTCTTCTTTATCTTCCTTCTTTCTTTTTTGTTTTATTATTCTTGGAGGCTGTAATGGTGTTAGCAATATAATGGGCTCAATCAAAACTTGTATGGGCAATCCTCTGCCAATTAATGCCATAACTTTTTGGGTGTAGAGTTGGCCCTGGGTTTCTGCCACTTGCCTTGAATGTATGGAATCAAATTCTTTTAGTGATTTTAGCTTCCTGGAAAAAGGTAACCGCATAATGAAGAAGTGTTTTCTTAACATACATTTACTACAATGACTATTTTCTCCTTCTTGGAACTGGGAGTTGCTGCTTGCTTATTTATTTATTAATTATAGAGACAAGGTTTCGCCATGTTGGTCAGGCTGGTCTCGAACTCCTGACCCCAGGTGATCCGCCTGCCTTGGCCTCCCAAAGTGCTGGGATTACAGGAGTGAGCCACCACACCTGGCCAGCACGTTTAACACAGTAATTAAAAGGTTGGAGGCCTTTCATAGTTCTATGGAAACCTATAGTCATTTTATCTTACAAATTTTTCTCCATTCCTCAGTAGGAATGATCAGCCCAGGCCTTAAGCTGTTTGCCCAACTTTTTTTTTTTTTCTAAGTTTCTTCTTGGTGAGGTCAGAAATCTTAATTTTAAAAAAGTCTTTCTTTAGTTGACACACTATGAATATGCTACATTTTTGCATATTACATTTCTGTGGTTATAATTCTGGAGTCTCTTAATTCATTAACTGTAGAGGTGCTTGAGAAGGTCTGGAGATGTTCACAGTCATCACCTGCATGTTCTGCGCAGCTGACTGTAGTGAGGGAGGAAGCCGCTGCTTGGGAAGCGGAGGCAAGGGGGAGGTCAGAGGCTCGTGGCAGCTGCTAACGGAATGGAAGTGCAGCAGTCACATGAAAATTCAGTTAGGAATTGGTGACCCCTGTTCTGGTTGGTTGTGAGGTCGTGTCTGTTTTGGATCACAAAAGAAAAGAGAAGGCTACTGCAGTGATTTAGAAGACAGGAGACGGTGGTTAGACCAGGTGGTATCCTTACAGCCGATGAAATGTCATGTCGTGTAAAAGTAGATGCAGTAAAATGACAGGCTATTCTAACGAGAACAGCAGAGGAGGCAAGAGTTTTTGGACTGAGTAGTTGGAGGTATGACATACCCTTGGCTGAGATGAGGAAGACTGCATGAAGAGTGGGTTTGAGGGAAGGCTGGAAGCTCCATTTGAACATGTACCTTTGAGGTGCTTTTTAGATATCCATGTAGAAGTGTTTCATGGGGAGGGGAGTCCATGAACCTGAAATTCAAGGAAGAAGTTCAAGGAGTAGTGGTTGGGAGGTGGCAGAGTGAGGTCTCGGGAGAATTTTCTTTTGTATACTGTGAGCGAGTACAGTGTATTTGTTTGTCAATGGGAATTATCCATTAGAGAAGAAAAAACTGGTGATGCTGGAGAGGGGAAAATCACTGGAGTAAAGTCACAAGTAGTAAGAAGGAACGGGACCTAGAAGGCAAGTGGAAGGGTGGTCTTTAGCTGGGAATGCAGACAACTCACCCAGAGTGACAGAAAGGAAGGCAGAATGACGAAGGTGACACGGTATGTGTCCAGATGGGTTGGCAAAACTTTGTGAGCGTTCTTCTTAATTTGCTTCTAGTTTCTCAGTGAATGAAGAAAGACTGTCTATTGATAATGAGGGGCACGGAGAGACCCACTGAGGTGCGTTGAAAGCACTTCACTTGTGGTGTGCGCCTGTAATCCCAACTACTGGGGAGGCTGAGGCAGGAGGATCACTTGAGCCCAGCAAGTGGAGGTTGCAGTGAGCAGAGATGGAGCCACTGCACTCCAGCCTGGGAGACAGAGTGAGACTCTGTCTCAATTAAAAAAAAAAAAAAAAAAAAAAAAAAAGAAAGCATTTTGCTCTTGGGAACGCGTAGGGGATGGGCTGAGTCGGGGAACACGAACTTGAAAGACCACTGCAGGCCGTCTGGGGAGAAACAGTGAAACCCAGACAGAGAAGTGGCACCAGATGTGGAGAGAACGCATAGATTCAGGTGTGTTTTGGAGACAGAATATGCAGAACTTGCTGTTGGATTAGCAGTGGACATAAGAGAAAGCAAAGGATCGAGAATAACATTGCTGTGAAAAGCACCTTAAAAGGTGATGAATTGCTATTGCTTCAGCTGTATTGAAATGAAGTCCTGGGAGGCTTTACTATTTTAGCTCACACAACTGAAGTTCACTTTAGCTCTTTTCTCATCTTAAAATTTCTCCCAATACTCCTGTAATCCTAGATTTTAACATACTATGGTTAGAAAACAGCACGAACAACTTAGAGTTGTTACCAACACAGGGCTCTGTGAGCAGTGAGTATATTCTCACTTTGCAGATGAAGACAGGCCCAGAAAGGTCAACAGAACTAATTACAAATGTTGGGAGTTGGGGGAATAAAACAAAAACTGCTTTATTAGTTTAGAATAATGAGAAGTACTTTACATTTTAGACTGTAGAACATTCACTACATGCTGATTTTGTTTTATAATGCCTAGGAAAAAATCTCATGCAAATAGTTACTTTAAGAAATGCATTTGGCCGGGCGCAGTAGCTCATGCCTGTAATCCCAGCACTTTGGGAGGCTGAGGCGAATGGATCACGACGTCAGGAGACGGAGACCTTCCTGGCCAACATGGTGAAACCCTGTCTCTACTAAGATACAAAAAATTAGGTGGGCATGGTGGTGCACACCTGGAGTCCCAGCTACTCAGGAGGCCGAGGCAGGGGAATCACTTGAATTGGGGAGGTAGAGGTTACAGTGAGCAGAGATCGTACCACTGCACTGTATGTAGCCTGGTGACAGATCAAGACACCATCTCAACAGAAAAAAAAAAATAAAAAGAAATGCACTTGACAACAGTTTTTCATGATATATTCATTACCATTGATTGCCAAAAATCCCTTCTAAATCTGTATAAAGGAACTTATAATATCGGCAGCCTCTTACATAAAGCTTAATAAGATTTTGGAAAATGAAGTATTTGTTATGTCATGTATTTCTGCTTTTAGCAGAAAAATAAAAAGTAGACTATAAATTTAAAAACTGATTTATTAAGCCGGGCACGGTGGCTCAAGCCTGTAATCCCAGCACTTTGGGAGGCAGAGGTGGGTGGATCACGAGGTCAACATATTGAGACCATCCTGGTCAACATGGTGAAACCCTGACTCTACTAAAAATACAAAAAATTAGCTGGGCATGGTGGTGCGTGCCTGTAATCCCAGCTACTCAGGAGGCTGAGGCAGGAGAATTGCCTGAACCCAGAAGGCAGAGGTTGCAGTGAGCCGAGATCGTGCCATTGCACTCCAGCCTGTGTAACAAGAGCGAAACTCCGTCTCAAAAAAAAAAAAACAACAAAAACTGATTTATTAATGTTTTACACAGGATTTTAATTTTTTTTTTTGGTTTACATCTAACTCATAGAGTGTTTGATACTGAGTTTCATTACTAAGATTAAAAAAATTACTTTGCAGTTTCCCTTGTTCCTGTAAAATGACAACTTCCCATAAAAAGCAAACAGTGGCAAAGTACTGGAAATAGTTCATTTTAAAAAATTCATTGCCTTAAAACTGCTCCTTAGGTGTTAACTGAAACAATATTATTGAGCATTCTCTACATGTCCGGACTGTTTTAAAGAAAGCTTTACGTGTTCAACTCGAACATCAGCCCTTTGAGGGCATGGATGATTCTCTACTTCTGAACATGCTTCACACACAGCGTCTGGCATAATGCATCCTAATTCATGAATGTTATTTGAATAAACAATGAGGCACATTCTTAAACTTTAGTGTCTATTAATTCAGCTAGGTACATTTAAAAAGTCACGTTCTCCTCTGTGTACAAACGTGCACATACAGAACCACATTGTCTTTGGATTCATCTACCTCTGACAATTGTCTAATTAATTAATCATCTGATAATTAAAATGACCTCCTTTCGGCTGATATTGGATCCTGAGAAAGGTTCAAAAGAAACTTGACACATCATGTTGTGTCATGTTCCATTGTGAGACAAACTGCTATTTATCACGTTATGTCATATCTGACCACATCATGGCAATGTTAAGTTGAACATCAATATGGTGACATATTCAAAAAATTCCAAAGCATTAGATTTATATAAAGTCATCCATTCTTCACTCTTCCAAAATGGAAAAGTCACAAAGCAATGTGACTTTTAGCGTCTTTTAGCCATCCCTGAATCTAGTACTGCTATTCATCAAGTCAGTTCACGCCGCTGCACTTAGCCTTTCCTTCAGTTTCTTGCTCAAGGTTTTGGCTAAGTCCATCTGGACACCACGTGGGCCTATGTGGTTTAGAAGTCTTGCACAATCCCGTGCTTTCATCTACTGAATTCCTTACAGTAGAAGAAAATTAGAACACAGAACCTTTAATTGGATTTGGGACACGTTATTTTTTCTGTCTGTCTCTAAAAAAGTGACTAACCAAGAATTAGAATTTCAATGGAAACTCTGCAAGAAATTCCAAGTTTTCATTTGGCATTCTGACTTTGAGGCGGGTTCAGTCACTGCAGTCCTATTGCCTTCATATTTATGGAGACATTTTTGGTTTCAAGGCGGTGTATGGATTTCCAAAATGGTTCCAGGTTTCTGTGGCCCTGTGGAATATAATGAACCCGTAGAAACAGAATACTTTTTAAAACACTGTATGTTAAACATTTTAATATACAGTATGTTATGAGCTTAAAATTCTGATTTTCATTTACTGTGATTAGTGTATGACATTATTATGGAGTCATGTGGAGTTTACCAGGGACTTAGGCAGTGAAAGTGACCTATGGCTGACACGTTGTACCTTTAATAAGCTACAGACGACATGGGCCTCTTCTCAAAGGGGATATTGGCTTTCTGTATATAATTAATAACAAGAAAACTGTATCCTGACTTTAAGGTCTGCAGTAGCATCCTGGAACAAAAAGGGCCATAAATTAACATCAATTATGTATTAAAGTTCCAATTAACCTGGCTGACACTGATATACTTTAACAAGCACGTTTAGATAAAAGAAAAAACTCTCTAATTACTTGGAATAGGACCTTATGACCCATTCAACTCTTTTATCCCAATTCCAACCTAACAAAGAATGAAATGAGAGGGAGAAAATTCCACAAAGGGTGACAATACAACATCAGAAGATCTTACCTGGGACGCTCTTTTACCATCAGAAACTCTCCATGATGAATATTTTATTGTGCTTGGATTCCAAAAACAAATACAGACATGGAAGAAGGGCATTTTAAAGTTGGAAATGGTGGCATCTTTTGAAATTTTCCACTAGAACCCATTTGGCACATTCTAAACACTTAATGTGAATTCTCCTCTCCCACCCCCAATCTGCCTGGCCCTGCTTTGGATGCATTTTCTAGAAAGGGAGCTCAGTGGTCACAATCCCTTCTGCACTGCTCACTCTCCCGGCTCCCCAAATCTTTGGACAGCCTTTCTGTTTGATTTGGGAAGAGCATTCTGGTCCCCGGTCCCCGTCTGTTCTCCAGGTGGCTCTTTGGACGTTGTTCTCCGTTTTCCGTTCACTGCCTGGGCATCTTGCCCACGTAGTTCTCTTGGTGCTCATGTTCCTCCTGGTGTCGCCCGGTCTGTTAGCTTCATCTACAATTGCCTATGCATCTTCTGGGCTGCACACGGCATGCACTGAAGTATTTCTTCATCTGAAAATACGGAAATAGCAGATGAAGATATTCATAGAATGGATGAGAGGAAAAAAAAATGCAGCAATTGTGGGTGACAGGGAGGGAGTGGGAGCAAGGCCGATTCTACTAGCTGAGGAGGCAGAGGAGGGAAGGACACATAGAAGAGAATGAGAAGTGATTTGTCTTTAGCACATGTTTATCTTCCTGTGGATCATGATCAGATGTGACAGTCGTTTGCTTTCCTACGGCAGTCTCCCATCGGACACTTGCTCATTTCTTGACATAGTTTCCCGAGTCTGTGCTCTAATTCACCCTTCACCGGAGATGGAGGAGACTTGTCTCGCTTTTTTCA